GCGGTCTTTTTGGAACTCTGTGGGTCGGAACCGAAGCCTGTGATAGAAACTATTGTGACGGAAGATGAAACTATGGTTCTCTATTACGACCCTCTATCGAGTCTGCCAGTCAACAAAAATGGTGACGGCTACCATCTTTTGGTATTGTGAAGGAATTCTTTTGATAGATTTTAAAGAAACTAATACCACTGTCAATGGTAAATATTACGCAACATTATTACATAAATTGCGAGACTGCATAGGCGTAAAACGTCGAGCAAAACTGACCAGAGGCGTGCGTCTTTTGCACGATAATGCACCTGTCTAAACTGCTGGTGTTGCACAAGCTGCCATTTTGGAGTGTGAGTTCCAACAAATAGATCATCCTCCCTATAGTCCAGATATGGCCCCAGCGACTATTATTTGTTTGGATATTTGAAAAAGGACTTACGGGGACGGCGGTTTAACGACGAAGTTGAGTTGAAAGAGGCTGTTTTAGTTCATTTTGCAGACAAACCAAAAGAATAATTTTTTAAAGGGATTGAGTTGTTAATAAAGAGATGTAATAAGTGTATTGAAGTTGTCTTTGTTTCTGTCTGTTTATCTACTCGTACAGCTCCAACAAAGTTCTTTCCCCTGTTAAATTTTTAATCTTAAGAGATCCCTGTTGGCTATATTAAAGCAATAGTCTTAGAAAGAAGGGTAATATGATAAAAGTTAAAAATTAATCGCAAAGTATTAAAAACAAAAGTTATAGGTTATTCTAATACATTTCAGAATAAATAATAATAATAATATGGTGTGCCATTTAATAACATCGAAGTTTTTTAATTACAAAGATACAAATATATTTCTTTCTTTTGAACAACCCTGTAGCACCAAAATTTTTTTGCAAGTGTGAATTAGTAGTTTTTTTGGAAAAATTGCAATATTGGAAAAGCTATTAGGTTTAAGTATGTATTAGTATCAATAAAAAAGTTGAAATTAGTATCTTTATAACTCTCGTATTAGCCACTGTCTCATAACTTTTGAAACCAATGAGATAATGAACTGCCCGTCTATAAAAAATAAGGGAGATAGCAGAGAACATTTTTTTCCTAAATTTAGCACACTTAGTACAAAACTTCTTCATTTTCATTTATAGTAGAATATTTGAACCTTTAAGGAAAAAACCTTAAATGTGGCAACATCGCCCATATGAAACTTCGAACGTTCTCAAGCAGTGCTACTACACGTATAACATGAATGACAAAAACTATAAAAGGAAATTTATTTGGGTTTATTGAACTACAATGCTTCTGATAAAATAAATAAGAACTAAAAGTTCAGATTTTCATGAAATTATATATTTTCACATGACAATTGTTTCGACAACACCGTGTCTTTATCAAATGTTATATTTACAAAGTAGCTGCTACTATATATACCGAAAAATGACAATAAAACTTTAATTAATGTTATTGTGAGAATTTATGTTCAATAAAGGAGAGGTATTTAAATCTAATTGATCGTAATACATTTGAATGTCTCATTTTGTTAATATCCATGGCTTCCAATAAATTTAATTTCCTACTTTCTGTGGCTGAATGTAAAATATAAAAATTGTCGTCAAAAATGTGTTTTTCTGGGTTTAAGTGTATAGCATTATTAGAATCTAGACTATTGTTTTTAAACGCCCTTATATGTTCGTTAATGCGTTTCTTTAAGGATCTACCTGTTTGCCCAATATAAATTTTAGGACAAGATCCACATTTCAACCTGTAGACACCTGATTTTTTAAGATTTTGGACATTTCGTTTTATTATTTTTTTAAAATTTTCCTATTGTGTTGTTAGTTCTGAAAGCTATTTTTAAACCACATTTTGAAACTTTTTCACTTTGTTCTCCTATGTATGTAATTGTTTTAAAATATTCGTGTTCTGTATTAGGTTTCGGATAAATAGAGTTTACTGTTGTCTGGATTTGTTTTTTATTTATAATTTTATCGATAATGGACGGATTTTAGCCGTTGTTCAGTGCAATTTGTTTAATGATATTAAGTTCTTTGTTGTAATTTTCTGTCGAGAGTGGCATATTAAGAAATTTGTGTATAAAAGAGTGAAATGCAGCCATTTTGTGTACATAAGGGTGATTTGATTTGTTATGTATGACTGTGTCCGTGTGTGAAGGTTTGTGATAAATGGAAAAATCTACATCGTTTTGCATTTTCGTAAAAATTAAGTCTAAAAAATTAATAGAGTTATCCTGTTCAGTCTCGATAGTAAATTCTGTACGATTATGTAATGAGTTGTTATTTAGAAAAGAATTCAATTGTCTGTGTGTTCCAACAAAGCAAGCAAAGACATCATCCACGTACCTATACCACCATTAAAAACAATTGTCATGTGAAAATATATAATTTCGTGAAAATCTGAACTTTTAGTTCTTTTTTGGATTTTCATCAAGTAAAAGCCACCTCAGTTCGTTGCGATTTACACAAATCCCAATTTACACAAATTTTGTTGTAATTGCTGGCCCGTACGAAGGGTTTAGTAAATTTTGAAAGGTTCTTAAATCTTTTTATGATAAAATTTTGGATTCGTTTCAGTAAAAGGATAGAACAGTGTTCATATAAACCCATCCCTACGACGTAACCCCAAAATTGCCAATAAAAACGTTTTTAATAGCTAGTTTTTACTAAGCTGTTGGTTATAAGGCACCTCACAATCTTATTGACCACGGTTTACATCTCATTATCACTCCCGTCATTTAGGAACATCGACGAAGTGTTCCTTGCATTGGACAAACTCGCTCCTTTTCCCCGAACTTTATTTTTCTTGTTTCAACCGACGAAATTGGGCCGATATCCGCCTCAAACCCCTGTATCCTGTGACGCCGTTCGAGGCCGTTCAGCGGCGCGACGCTCGACATCCACATCCGCTCGGATATTCCCCTCCATCGACCCCCCACCAGGCAACCGGCTCTCCTTAGTTGGCAGCCTTTCCAGGAATTGGGTGGTAATTTACATAGCTCGTTGTTTTACTGGCAAAAGGGGCCCACCGATGGAAACGTGCGCGCGTGTGTGTGTGTGTGGGCTAGAGTGAATGAAACGTTTGGCCCTTTGCGCACGAGGCTACGCGATCGATAAGTGTATAAAACGGCCAGGGTTTTAAGTCGTCGTTGATCTTTTTATCGTCGGCTCTTTTGGCGGATAGTTTTTCTACTTATATATACAGTGAAAGCTCCCTATAGCGAAACTCTTTATAACGTAAAACCCTGTATTACGAACAAAATTTGTTGTACTATTAGGTCCTCCATACAAAGCTATGTATTAATCCACTCTGTATAACGAATTTATCACTCTCTATACCGAAAGAAAAAGGTTCATGCTTTTATCGATATGTATAAAAGCACACCATTGTTTCAATCAGTCCCAATTTGACTTAGTGAATACGGCGAGCATCGCGAGTAAGCGAAAAATGTTATCTCTATATGGTAAATTTGCTTTAATTCTAGAGATAGAACGGGGAGACAAGAAAAATGATGTGGGACGTCGATACGGTCTTACACCGTCGACTGTATCCACGATTTGGAAGTGCAAAATTCAAACAGAGGCATGGTATAAATTTTTACATTTTTAATACTGACGAAACTGGTATTTTTTACAAAATGACGCCAGATACAATTCTTAAATTTCGAAGCGAAAATTTTGTGGGTGGAAAACTTTCTAATAACGTATAACAGTGTTAGTAGCTGCCAATATGAGTGGGAGAGGAAAAAGAAAGCTAGTCGTGATTGGAAAGTCAACTAACCCACTATGTTTTAAGAACATCAAGCATTTGTCGGTCAATTACAAGGCAAACAAGTCTGCATGGATGGCATAGCAAATTTTTTAAGAGGGGATACAGAAATGGGGTGCAGAATTAAAGGGGAGGAAAATATTACACCTCTTAGATAAGTGCCCTGCACATCCCCGTATTCCAAATCTACGGAATGTTGAATTGGTATTTCTTCCAGTCAAAACAACAAGTGTATTACAGCGGATGGACCAAAGTGTAATAAAAAGTCTTACGAGTCGATACAGGAAAAACATTTTAATGGAAATGATCGAGTCCCAAGACAAATTTTCCATTAATATGCTAGATGCAATCAAATTTATTAGTAAAGCTTGGAAAGAGGTGACACCAGGAACAATTCAACACTCCTATCGTCATACAGGACTTATTACTGAGACCAAATGGAAAGAAGACTTGGAAGATGATCAGCCACTAAGCGAGTGGATAAAGCAGTTTCAAACAACAATTACGTTTACAAGTGAGGAGTTGCAAGATTTTATTGTGATAGATCAGTTCGGAAAACCAATACTTTTACGAAAAATCCAATTGACGGAAATGAACGCAATGAAAGTCTTGGATACTCCCAGTCTTTCAAAAATAAATATTGGCGAGATATACCAGCTAAGAGACTTAGCAGAAAAAATAACTTCCATGGAACCAGTGAAAGAAGAAACAAATACGTACCAAATAATTGTTATTGTTTTTGGAATAATCATGGTTGTAATTTTAGATTTCGTCATTAAGAAGCTCTTCTTCGAAAAGGTGCGACACTTGAAGAAAAACGCATCCAAAGAGAAAACCTGCCGAGAAGAAAATTTTGAAGCTTTTTCGAAAAAACGCTGCTTTATTTTCGAAAGTTAAGGAGGGAGAAGTTATATGCTCCAAACTGCAAAGGAAGCCCAAAGCTAAGCGAATTTATCCTATTTATCCCATTGTAAAATTGGTCTTAATTATTCCAGTCTTTGTATCGGCTACTCCCAATAAAACTATATTTTGCTTTCTGTATAAATAAATGTTTTTAAAAACGTTCTCCCGAATTTTGAACATTTAGGTCGCCGCATAGTTTTTCGAGCATAAAACTTTATTTCAATCGCCAGAAGGTTAAACGCCGTCATATATTATAAAATACTATAAATTAAAACACACTGTATAAGCAAATGTTTTTAAAAACGTTCTCCTGAATTTAAAAAAAATATTTAAGTCGCATATATTACATAAACGGCAAATCAATACATTTTTTTCCGTTACCGGTGTAGAGAAAACCGTGTTTCGGTGTTTTCGAAAAGTGGTAAAATATCATTCCGGGCCAATACATTGACCTAATAATAACGCCAGTTTCGTCTATGGTCGGCTGGATAGTCCAACAATTCGTTGGAACGTCCATATCGATGGTGTCTGCAAATTTAACAATAACAGTGGGAACTCAACGGCTATATTTACGTACCCAAAAAGTCTATAGCATAATTATAATCTTTTCGAGCGAACAAATTGTTTTTTAATTTTTGAGTTGCCGGTCGAAAATGTTGATACGAAGCCAAGTCTGTGGCCTCTAAGGGACTCAACCCTTCGAACGACCGATTTTCCACAATAACGCCATCTGAGCGTTTAAATAACGCTCCGCGTGGGACAACGGCTGCCTCTTTAGTTATTAGATGAACCGTCGCTGATAATCTGTCTTCTTCCTTCAGTCTTTTTATCAATGGGGGTTTGTTTGACCTGGCGTCCATGATTTGCTCCTCTTCCATCTTAATTTCCGTAACTAATGCGGCATTTCCTGTATATTAAAAACCTTTTCTTTTCTTTTTCTTTGAGCACTATTCAGCGCCAAAGGAAAGCGCTTACAAAAAAATATTCTCCTTTACTTGAGTTAGTTACCTTGGAAATTGGTCTTGCATAAAGGAGTTAACTCCAATCCAATGTTATTTGGTTGCGGCAACAATCCCCAATTAATGCAGTCCTTGCTATAATAATAGGTTCTTTTCAAGAGTATATCCTTGGAGTAACCATACGCTATATAGTAATCATCTTCTGTTCCTAAAATTTTTCCCCAGTAGAATACATTTTGGAAGTGATTTTCAGTCTGCAATATTAGCAAGCTGTTATGAAGTATTAACGATTCCGCTGTTGATATAATATGACCAAATGTGCCAATTAATTGTAGACTGTCCAACACGGAGTCTATGTTCATTTTATCTTCGCAAATATTACGTGTCACACTGACATTTATGTCATTCATATAATGTATATATTAAAATTATTGGTACGGTAAGAGCTTCGTCGTTCATTGTTGCGATGTATTGAGTACTGTAACCATACGAGTATTGTAATGAGCCTTACCACACGTTTGATATTCAATATAATCTAAGCAAATTAGTCACGAACATGACTAATAGAGGAAAATGAAGTTTTGGTACTAAACTCCTAGTTGAAACAGAAACACAGATCAAAAAACCACTTCCAAAGGTGATCCCACGGCGCGTTTCAGCTTTTTGAATGTAAACAGTAACTTTCTATATTCTACATAGAATTGTTTTATAATGTCTTGGCGTATCTTCCACACAACGCTTACTGGAAAATAATTATATTATAAATAAAAATTACATATTAGAGTTGTTTATCATTCAGTTTACAGAAAACCTACACACACAGACCGATACCTTGTTTAAAAACCCCGAATTAAAACACCTTATATCTGCTCTTTTCTCACATGAGAGATATTAAGAGCTGCATCGGAGAAAAAATCGTATTACCATGTTATTACAGAAAATTCTTATTAAACTTTCAATCATATTATTAATGTAATTACAATCAATTTAATTAGTACAAGTAGTTTCATTGGATTTAATAGCAAGTGTTGTGCACCAAACTACTTAATTGATTTTCAATCATTTGTTAAAGTAATTATAATTAATTTAATTAGGTACAGGTAGTTTTATTGAATTTAAGAGCAGAAACCTTTTATATGTGAAAGCACTATATCTGTAACTCTAGCACGTACTATAATGCAAGATTTATTCACCAAAATACTTAATTATTGCCAATTGTGAGTCGTTTCTTCATTTCTTTTTTTTCTTTTTATTTTTCTTTTCTTTACCTTTCGTTATTCCACAAGTTTTGCTGCAACAGTTTTTTCAAATAATGTTTGTTATTATAAAAGAAAAACTTCGTTCCCGATTTGATTACAGACGAAACATAAATAATAAATAGAAGGGTAAATTTTAAAGTATAGCCTGCGACGATTTCTTATGTGCCTTAAAAACCGCAACAAGTGAATATTTAATCAGCAGACTTGACAGAGGAAGCCATATTAAAACTAGCAAGAAGGGTGAGGAAGAGCACCAAGAGGAAGAAGAAGATGAAGAAGTTGACCACCACCAACCGTTCAACAGTTAAGCTGCTAGAGAAATTTTTTATATATCATGGGGAAGATGCCCCTCTCGGAGAAATGGTGAAAATACATGCCAAAGTACGAGATGCGTATTGGCATACTAAAAAAAAATCAAAAGAAAATGACCGATTGTTTGAAACATTAAATGTAGTTTTTAAATATTTATAAAAAATGTTCCTAAGTAGATGTTAAAATATTACAGTACACATATGCGTATTTTTATTTTTCAAGTGCTTATAACTTTTTATAAAAAGTAAAACACGGCTCTTTAAAAAAATTAGACCAATAACATAGTAATATACTATTTATGCTTCTGCATTTTTGTCACATACTTTGCACAAAAATACTAATTTTCTGTTTTATTATTGGCAGCTGTTTCGCAATTTCTGGCTCATCCTTTTGTGAGCTCCATCACTGTATTCCATTTACGTTTGTTATTGTTTGATCCGGAAATATGAGCAACTGGGGGCATTCGACATTATTACAAATAAATTTGTACTATTCTTAATAAACGATAAACGAAATGCGCGTCTAATTTTCCTTTAAAAAGTTAGTAAGGGGTTTATTGGATTGCTTATAATGTTAACCTTTTTTTAAATAGTTGAAAATCGTGTACATTGTTTCCTGAGATAAAGAAATTATACTATATGAATACAAAATACTTTTGTTATGTATCGTAAAAAATAAAAATAACTATCGAAAAATTATAAACATTAATATAAATAAAATATGTATGAAATCAAATTTTGGCAGAAAAAGGGAAAAAGCACATGAATTTTTAAAAAATAATAAATGCCTAAATTGTTTAGAAAACGTTTTTCAGAAGTGGCAAGTTAAATAAAAATGATTAAGTAATAATAAAACAAGATATTATTTACTTACCTGTATTCTCTTCTTGCTGCTTTAAGTGTGCTTTAAGTGTTTGAACTTTCCCTCGAATTTTTTTCTTGCAGATTTTACAAATCGCTCTACACCCAGATTTATTTGGATGTAAAACTGCCATATGCTACTTTCTTTTCTTCTAGCAATTTAAATGTCTTCACCTAATGCTCTATTTTCTACTAGTTCCACCCCATTGATAAACGAACAACTAAATACGCGGGATTGCTACATAAAAAATAGGAAATATATATATTCTTATGAAATTAAAAAAAGACAATTAAAATTTAAAAAATAAAAAATTCTTGATTTTTATTAGTTTAAAAAAAATCACAGTTTGCCCAACACTGGTTGCAATACCCACAACGTTATACCTAAATCTGTTTATAAAATTCTTCTTAAATCTAGTATAAAGAAATAGAGCAAATGGGTGAGATGAAAATCTTCGTTTATGTTCTACGCAGGATCACATTCAAAAATTTAAATAATTAACGTCAACACTAGAGAAACCATCAAACTCTTCTCAACTATCAAACACTGTGGTAAATGTATAATCGCACCAATTTTCTAAGACTCAAAAATCGATTCTCGATCGAGTCTGTCCTAAACAAACTGCCGAACGAAATTCGATTTGAAATCGCAAAAAATCCTTTAAAATTCAAAACTTCCCAAATTTAATATTCCAAAACCCAAACGCATCGCTCTCAAATATGTTCATACACGTCAACTTAAAAAAAGATTTTACCTCATTAAATCTATTACTAAGGCTTCTTCTCTACCACAATCATAAAAAAAGTCTGTCATCACATCACATTCACAAACTATGAACTATTGTCAGCACCATTAGTTCTCCAAAATATTCCCTAGCAAAATATGCAGCTTCTATATAATCCTTTACAGAGAAAACCAATAGTTTCCTTCTGTACTCCTTTCAATTAATTGAACACACGTTGATACTCTGGTTAGTTTCGAATTTGAATCTCTCTTTACTGAAGTTCCCCTATACCTGAAAGTTTCAACTTTATTTCAGGTATATTCAAACGCGAGAATCTGGTACCGAATTTTCTCATCTAAACAGAAAATTACAACAAAACAAAAAATCCGTGCATTATAGATAAAATTATAAATAAAAAACAAATCCAGACAACAGTAAACTCTATTTATCCTAAACCTAATACAGAATACTAACAATTTAAAACAATTACTTATATAGGAGAACCTAGTGAAAAAGTTTCAAAACATTTGTCAAAATATGGTTTATATTAGCTTTCAGAACTAACAACAAGATAGGAAAATTTTTGAAAAACAGGTTCAAATGCGGATCTTGTCCTAAAATTTATATTGGACAAACAGGTATATAGTTCAGAAAAGCATTAATGAACATAAAAGCACATACACATACTTAAACACAGAAAAACACACTTTTGACGACAATTTTGATATTTTACATACAGCCACAAAAAGTAGAAAATTAAATTTATTGGAAGCCATGGAGATTAACAAAATGAGACATTCAAATATATTACTTAACGATCAATTAGATTTAAATACCTCTCCTTTATTGAATATAAATTCTCACAACAACAGTAATTAAGGTTTTATTGTCATTTTTCGGTATATATAGTAGCAAGTAGTTTGTAAATATTACATTTGATATAGAAACGGTGTTGTCGAAACAATTGTCATGTCAAAATATATAATTTCATGAAAATCTGAACTTTTAGTTCTTATTTATTTTTATAAATGGATTTTCATCAAGTAAAAGCCACCTCAGTTCAATTTCAGAACACATCTGATATTCATTACTTAGAAAAAGCCTATGATAATGAACCAAGGAAACAATCATGGGAGGCTATGACGTTGAACGTTGGACGAAAATGGATGAGTATAACGAAAAGATCATATAATGATACAAAAGCGAAAATAAAAGTAGGCAACGAATTAACGAAAGCAATAGTCATAACCAAAGGAGTAAGACAAAGATGCGGCTTATCACCCATACATTTTAATAAATGTATTTAGAATAAGCTTTAAAGGCATGGTATAAAAAGCGTTCAAGGATGAACAAGCCGATACAAGGGAAAACATGTCGCTGGTGACCAAGTTATTTTTGCATAAGAAAAAGAGCTCATGGTATACATGATAATGACGCTAAAGTAAGAGTACCAACTGTGGAGACTGAAAATAATATGGATAAAACCGAATTGGACACCAAGGTACAGATTTAGATTTGAATTTGGAGGTCGAAATTATTAATAGTTGCCAAACTTTCAAGTATCTACAAGAGCACTTTATGGACTGATGTGGAACAATGCTCTTACTAAAGGAAACTAAAAAGGAATCTTCCAAAATATCACCTTATATGGAGCAGAAGTATTGCCAATGACAACAATGATAAGAAACAAAATAAGAACGGTCGAATTGGACTTTATGAGAAGATGTCTACAAGCCATACCAACTGACCAAATAAGAACTGCAGACATTTGGCAATGAATAGAAATGGAATGCTCGTTAACAAGCAAATTAGAAAATAGCGCGTTACAACGGTATTGTGACGTACAAAGAATGTCAGAGATGACCAAAAGGAATACCGGAACGGATAAAAACGGCGAACTCGTAAAGGATAATGCCGAAGAAGAAGAAGAAGAAGAAAACATTCAAAACATCATTGACCACATTTGAAAAGTTCTTTGCCAAAGACATAAAATACATTTGGTGAGACCGGACGGAAAATATCAATTGCTTCATTAAAAGAATTTTAGAAAAAACAGTTAAAGCAAATGCGGCAGTAAATGTTTTGTGAAATTAAATAACGGGAACAGCGCAATCATAATTGGATTACTTCGTTGTCATTTAATCCTGAAACTGCATCACTAAAGGGCTGTAACCGGTTTAATATCGTTCTCCAGCGAACAACTGTAAAAATTATAGGGTGTAA